GCAAGAATGAAGTTTTGGCCATTATGCTGAACTTCTCCAAAGAACCTTTCCTCCGTGCCCATCTTCCGTCTACTCCTTGACTTGCCACTGAAAAGTCTAATGTAAAAAGTGCTGAAATTAGGCATTAAAAATATGCTAAAAGGTAAGATTTCCATCCAACAGATTCCCTCCCCTCCGCTCCCAAGGGTCTTCCCAGGCAATGCTGCTACCTGTCCCAAATAAAATGGTGAAAGAATAAAGACAGTTTGACTTTCCCACCTGCAGCTGTGTGGACTGTGTTGTTTTGCCCACGATCACCATTCGTGGAGTGGTGATCTCCTTAGCATCTGATGTCCTGCTTTCCTGTCTGTGTGGCCTGGTTAGACTGGCAGGACCCATTGTCACCTGGGCCCAAATTGCTGAGGCCTGGGACACAAGGCAGGCACCAGACTCCAGTACCTCTTCAGGCTCAAGAACTTTTTTATACAAAATTCAATCCTCTTCTTTGTGCTCTGTTTTTCAAATGTCAGTTAAGACTTGTCTTCAGAAGAAACCCGAAATTAAATATCTGATGTCCGTGTCAGAATAGACTAGTGCTAGCTTCCGCAGCTGAAGTTGGTCCTCTCCCAGCCCTACTGACTTATCACGTGCTTATTATCTGTCAGGCACTGTACTAAGTGCATCGATCGTGCTGTCTCCCCTGATCCAGTGGCCCTGTGAAGTAGCCTTATTACACTCCCCACTTTACACGGGGCTCAGGGAGGTGACGTGACTTCCTGGGTCACACCACCACAAAGTGGAGAGACGGGATTCAGACCCAGGCTTTGGAAATATTCTCATTTTCTTTAGAAACCAGTGTCCCAAATAACATTGAATAAAATCAGATGAATATCACAGAAGATGCCTTATATCCATCCTGTATATTTAGCTATTTATACACTAGGTTTTCTATTCAACTACTCACAAGTGATGCTCTTTTGGAGAGGAGAGTTTTAGAAAAATATGAGGTCTTCAGGCAACTGGCTGGGTATGTACTATGAGAAAATGGAAAACATTTTTCTCTCTAAATGGCTCTTGAAAGAATGAATGCATGAGGTGCAAAAAAAAATTTTTTTTCTCTTCTATGATCAGTGTTCACTGACTTCCCTCCCATCCTTCCAATTTAAAGCAGTTACAGTTTAAGCTGAAGCAGAGAACAAATAGTAATAGCTGCTCCCAATTAAAAAACAACAGATGTTTAAGCAAGAGGACAGCTATATAAATCAGGTAACAACACCAAGAATGTGTATTTTGCATCAGGTGACAAAACTGATCTCTTCTTGAGAAAGCAAGCATGTTAACTTATTCATGACCCAAAGTCATATAATAATACTTTCACATTATCTCTTCTAATTTTCATTCAAACCTGTTGTCCCTGCTTTAGAAATGAAGAAACTGAAGCTCAGGTTTATGACTTGCCCATTGCCCACATTCCTGTCACAATTGCTTTCAAAAAATTGAATCTGATCATGTCCCCCATTTCCGTGTCTCCAAACTGTTCATCCTACCCCTTACCTCCAGCTTAAAACCTTCCAAAGGGTCCCAAGTTGCCTGCAGGACATACATGCAGGGGCAATAAATCCTTGGTGCCTGGTTCCCATCTCCGCCTCCTGCCCTCCCTCCAGCTGCAGCTCCCCTCTTCATGCACCAGAACAGCCACACCACACTCCCTGCACTTTCTGCCACACTTGTCACCTCCATCCTCTACCTAGATTTCCCCTCCTACCTGCTTTACCTGCGGCATACCTCTGTAAGACTCAGCCTGGGCATCACTTATTCTCTGCATCCTTTCCCAACAAACCCACCCTGCAGGCAGAACTGATTCCTCCTTCCATGCCAACACTAAGCACCAAGTGCTCTGGGTAATACAGAAGAAATCTTCACTGCACTAGATGATCTACAGATTAGTTGAGAAGCCTAAAAATTACTGAATTAACAAGAAAGGTGAACGTGGCTGGTCAGTTATGAAATCTTAAAAGAATTAAAGAGTAAGAGAAGCCAAGCAGGAGATATGAAGGAATTCATGTTGCTAATAGTTGGTCAAAAGACCATATATGTATATAAAATACATGTATATCAAAATGAATGAAAGATTGAGTAAAGAGAATCGGATAGCAAACCAGATTCATTCTCTTTACCAAAATATGGCCCTGAGTCAGAAAAAAGCTTTAGAGCCCTTTTCTTTTCTTTCTTTTTTTTTTTTTTTTCCTTTTTGTCTTTTTTTACTGACCGGTAACAGGATCGCAACCCTCGGTGTTGCGCCCGCACCGCGCTCAGCCAGTGAGCGGTAACCGGTCTCCACATGGGATCCGAACCCTCGGCTGGAGTGCTGCCACGCTCCCAAGCAGCGCACTCTCCGGTGCGCCACCGGGCCAGCCCTAGAGCCCTTTTCTAAATGGTAGTGTGGTGGGGTATCTCATTTCTTATTGCCATACTCAACGATTTTAGAAGAACAGGCAAACTTCTCAGTCTTCCTAAGAAGCTGTTTCTCTGTACAATAGTTCCATTTCTCGGGGGCGAATCCCGAATGCAAGGGCAGCATATTTCTTTCTAAATCACAAGGCAGATGATGATATTTTGCTCTATTTGTCCATCCTTTCTCTTCTCCTACATGCTCTCGTTTAAGTAAGTATTAGCATGTCCAGGTTACACCAGGTGGGCAAAAGGACAGAGAAAAGCGGGCTTAAGAAATCAAACTTTAATTCCTCAGAGGTTTCCCCTGGTTTTTGCATTTTTCAGTGGATGGTTGCATGAATGATCTGTCTATCCTGCCTTCCACAGCCAGGATTATATCCCAGCTTCCAGCCTCCTCCAAGGACTTAATAGCCGTAAGTTTGCAAGGCAGGGATCACTGTGCAACATGTGCAGGAGTCAGGGCTGGGGCTTCTTCCAGCAATTCAGACAGGTTATTAAATGGGCTTAACCAAAGGGTCTCAATTTAGTCCTCCTGGCCAGAGATGGAGAATTGTCCTCTGGCCAGTCTTCCAATACTTGCTGCCAGAGCTTACTATAGTTTCTAATCATCACTTATTGCCTGTGCCCCACTACATCATGCCTGAAAGTTTCAGGGATTCGTACAATCTTAAAATCAATTCCTATGCCACAGAGCAAAGGAGCTGGGCCAGGCACGACATAAATAACTACAGAGCGCTGGCTCTATAGCCACTTTAATAACACTTTCTATGGGTTAGGAACTTGACATATATTGTCTCCAGCCCCTTTGCAAGGAAACTGAAGATCAAATGGGTTAAATAATTTCCCTGAGAACTGAGATTTGAACCCACTGCCACCTGTCTTCCTCTCTGCCATGCTGTCTCCTGTGCTTAAACAGTGACCTTACTGACAGCCTAGGCATTTTCCTTCGTATTTTGGTTTTGGCCACCAGAAATCAGATGAGCCATCAAGAATACCCTCTCTTCCTAACAGAACCAGGGAGGTGGTATGGAAATCCTGATTTGCACACTTCACATAAAAGTACTAGACCAGTCCCTTCAGTGTCAACGAGCAAAGGGCAAGAGTCATTGGCTTCCCATGCCATGCATGCCCAGAGAAGTCTAGCCTGGAGAAACCATGCTGGAGTCTAGAGCAGCTGGACCTCTCCCAGAGTCCTCTGATCTCATTAGTGTTGAAGGAATGGAGCATGGGCTTTGGAGCCAGTAAGGCCCGGGTTTGACTCTCGCTCTCTACCTTCCAGTTGTAAGATGTATTCACACAAGCAGCAACTACCTCTCTCCCCCATCTCTTTCCTTTCCCCCCAAGCCCCCTGCCCACAAAAGGACAAGTCCTGGCATTGCTTGTCCTGATATCATTAGGGGACTTTGCATTGACAATCACCTCTCCGAGAATGGTTCCTTTCAAATAATTGGAGATGGGTGACATGGAAAAAAAATAAAATTACTGCAGCTCTGATCCCTTAGACCTACCAGTAAATGCTGAAAAAAAATAATAATTTGTACCTCTTTCTGTGTAATTCCTTCCTTTAGGTGTCACAGTAGAGCTTCCTATCAATTTGTATTAATTACAGATTTGGCTGCTGAAATGAAGACCCCAAATAACAACAGCCTAAATGAGATGGAGGCTTCTTTCCCTTGCGCCTAACTCGACGCACACCCTCCACAGTCTTGCCTCACCCTCTCTCAGCCATCGCTGCTCTTGCCTGGCCCAGGAGGACTCAGCACTACATCCACATTCCAGGCAGCAGGCTTACTTAAGGGAGACGTGGGAAAGTGAAATTTCTCTCCTTAAGGGCAAGGGTCACACACATCATTCCCGCTCACATCTCTTTATCCAGAACTTAGTCACATGGTTTCACCTAACTGCAAGGGAGTCAAGGAAATCCAGTCTTCCACTGGGAACCACAGTCATATGCCAAGCTAAAAGTTCTAGTACGAGAGGAAGGAAGAATGGATGTGGGTGGAAGAGGAGTGGAAATAGTCACACCATCCAAAGCCAGCCACAATATAACACTAGTATTTTCCACCTCGCCCTCCTATGGAGACTTTGGTGGATTGAATTATTGGCTCCAATTCTTCACACCTCCCCAAATCCACCCCCTTTGCCACGAAACCTGGCAGTTATCCCATCTCTACGGGAGGAGTATACTTTCCTGACCCTTGACTTGGGTTCAGCTGTGCAACTTGCTTTGGCCAATATTGGTGAATGTGATATGACCAAAGCCCTGAAAAGCGCTAGGGTAATCGGATTTGCCCTCTTGCACATCTACCATCACCATGAGAAGCACGTCCCTGGGTAACTGCTGACCCTGCAGCCTGTGCCCTAGAGTGAACACACACAGAGCAGAGCCAGCCCAGCCAAGACCAACTGAGATCGGCCAGCCCATTGGCACGTGAGAACGAATGCTTAATGCTACTTACAGTCTGCCCTCTGCATCTGTGGGTTCCCCATCCATAGATCCAACTAACCAAGGGATTGAAAATATTCAGAAAAAAATTGCATCTACATGTACAGCTTTTCTTTTGGTCATTATTCCCTAAACAATACAGTATAACAACTATTTACATAGCACACTGTACTGGGTATCTTAAGTAGAGATGTGCATAGGGTATAAGCAAATACTACATCATTTTATACCAGGGGAATTTTGGTATCCACACAAATAAGGTCCTGGACCCAATTCCCTGCAGAAACTGAGGGATGACTGCATATCCCATTGAGTTTTGGGGGTTGTTCATGATGCAACATTGCTGGAGCAACAGCTAACTGATTCTGGTCCTTGGGCCCTAACCCAGCAGCTCTCTCTGTGGTTATTTTCTATTTGTTCTCCAAATGCCTTCTCCACCCTTTTCTGCCATCCTCTGAGCTTTAGGAGGCAGATCTTTATTGGCTCCTTTGGCTTCTGGCTTCTAGCTGGATTTGGACAATGAGAGGCACTGTCAGGAAAGGGAGAATGAAGTTGGGGAATTTATTTCCCTGGCTTCCTCCCTGAAGGTCATGAGGGATAGCTTGCATCCCTCTACCAAAGGCCATGTCTCCTGTCAGGGGTCCAGCTCTCTCTCTGGGTCCAGGAGCCGAAACTTCCTCTTGCCCCCAGTAATGCTCGCAGCTGCCACTAGCCCAAGATTCTGCACCATCCTTTATTGTTTTCCCTTAACCATGCCCACATCTTGGTCAACTGCCCCTTTACTAAACTCAGTTACCCAGCTTGAGTACAACAGCTCTTCCTGGTTGGACCCTGACTGACACCCCGCCCCCTCACCTGCACCCATGGCCTGCACTCATATTATTCCTGGCCTCCACCCTGTCATGTAGTGTCCCCCCTTCTTCATGGATCTAAGTGTGACTTCCCTTTTAGGGACAATTCATGTCTCCTCTCTTCCAAGATGCTTCCTCCAAAGTCTCCAGCCCTCAGTGGGCCTCCCCCAAGATCCATCACCCGCACCACATCGTCAAAGCTTTGTTTCATAGCAAAGCACGGAAGTCTGTAATCTGTGCTCTGGGGAGCCCCAGGGATCCTGTGAAGGTGCCACAGTGGTTGGGAGGAGAGTATTTGCAGAGCAGGTGGAACTCCAGATCACTATCCCCAATAACTACACATTTACCTCATATATGTGCTTTCATTTGAGCTTCACTGTTTAAAAAGTTTTAAAAAGTTTGAAAATTTTGATGCAGTACAGTAGTCTTTAACTTCTTACGTATATAAATCTTTTTTCTTTTCTTTCTTTTTTTTTTGTGGCTGGCTGGTACCGGGATCTGAACCCTTGACCTTGATGTTACCAGCACCATGCTCCAACCAACCAGCCCTTGTGTAAATAAATCTTATCTACCCAAATGAATAAAATGAATTTAAATATCTCCCAAATCAAGCAATTTATGTTCTCCCTTCGTTATAGGGCATATAACAGGTGCAGATGAGTGATGGACAGATAGAAAGAGGACGAATGCATGGGGGGATGGATGTGTGGATGGGTGGGTGGGCAGGCGCATGGGTGAATGGACAAATGTGTGGATGGATGGACAGATGGGTGGGCAGGCTGATTCTCATCATAAGCCGTTTCTTCACAGGTTCTACCCACTCCTCGTGGCCTGCAGGAATACGTCTCTTTGCTTCTCCAAATCTTGCTAGAAGCATCTCTCCTGGCACTTCAACCAAACTCCAAAAGGCCAATTAAAGGGGACTGAAGGTCAGAAGGGAAGTGGGACAGGCTGGCTGGAGTCCACCACACAAGGCAGCTCCAGATCCCACTTACTGAGACCTGAAAGGAAAGAGATGCAAGAGGAAGGGCAGTGAGGTCTGAGGCTGTGTGAAATCCCACTCGAACATGCAGAAAGCAAGAGTCCCCAGTGGACTTGCAAACATTGTTAAAAATCTCTCATTTCTGCTCCCACCAAAAAAAGATTTCCCAGCTCCAGCCTCGCATCACGGTGCTCATAGATCGTAAGATGAATAAAATAATCACTTTTCTCTTGCTTAATCGGTATATATAATTACTACATTATATGTGCTGTAAGGCTCACACTAGCTGTTTTTTGATGGTGATAATAACTTATTTCTAAATAACTATTTGCAGTGCCCCCGTTTAAGACAATACCTTGTGAAAAGAAGCTGTTTTTCTCCAAATGTATAGTTTAGGGTCCATTTAATCAAATAGTTTGGATTTCAGGTCCTCTAAGATGCCACTTAATTGAAGCTCTGCAAAGAGATAAACCATTTTACACTGGAACTTCACCTATTTCAATCCTATACCTACAACTTCACCGAGTGAAGACTACCGAGAGTCCTGAAGTTAGCAGGCACAAACCAGCGCCCTCACGGAGACCCTCGTGTGTTTTTCAAAAAAGAAAAGTGGCTAGAAAAAAGACAGATAGATAGATGATAGACAGACAGACAGACAGACAGACAGATAGACAGATAGATAGATAGGGAGATAGGCATAATTTCGTATAACTTCGTATAATGTATGCTATACGAAATTATGCCTATCTCCCTATCTATCTATCTGTCTATCTGTCTGTCTGTCTGTCTATCTATCTATCTATCTATCTATCTATCTATCTATCTATCTATCTATCTATCTATCTATCTATCTATCTATCTATCTATCTATCTATCTATCTATCTATCTATCTATCTATCTATCTATCTATCTATCTATCTATCTATCTATCTATCTATCTATCTATCTATCTATCTATCTATCTATCTATCTATCTATCTATCTATCTATCTATCTATCTATCTATCTATCTATCTATCTATCTATCTATCTATCTATCTATCTATCTATCTATCTATCTATCTATCTATCTATCTATCTATCTATCTATCTATCTATGTACATTTTTAAGTGGACCAGAATATGAGATCTGACAAAGCCTATCTATAAAATTTGTGAATGTTTAAAAAAAAAAAAGCTTAAAAAAATCCCCCCCAAATCAAACTTAGTACATTTAATTTCCTTTTTACTGAAGAGACTGCACTACACAAACCCTTCACTATCAAGGAAAGTCCAGGCCCACATGGAAGCTCCATGCCTCATAACTACACCTGAAGCCAGTGTGGAGGCAGGTCAAGCTGGTCCCTCCTGCTTATCTCAGAAGTGCCAAGCAGGAGGAGACAGGGGCCCCAAAGCAACCCTCTGAGGCTAAGGAATAAGGGGAAAGGGTAGGGTGGAGAAGTGAGAGAGAAGATACCAACTGTCCAAAGACAGCTTGAATATGAAGCTGGTGGAAACAGAACAGACTAGAAGGAAGGACTGGCTGGGAGCTGGGGTAGGGAACAGATTAAGCTCTCCTCTTTTTTGCCATAAGCTAGGGGTTTAGGGACCCAGCGTAATACTGTTTAAAGCTTTTGGATTAATTGCTTATCCCATATATGTGTAGATCACCACCTGTTATGGATTGAATGTTTGTGTCATCAAAATTCATGTGTGGATTCCCCAATCCCCAGTATGATGATATTAGGAGGTAAGGCTTTGGGGAAGTGACTTAGGTCATGAGTATGGAGCCCTAATGAATGGAATTAGCGCCCTCATAAAAAGAGACACAAAAGAGCTACCTTCTTCCTGCCCTCCCTTCCTCCCTCCTCCTCTCTTTCTCTGTCTGCCATGTGCAGATATAGTGAGAAGGTAGCTGTCTACAAGCCAGGAAGCGGTCCTCAACAGATAAGGAATCTGCCAGCACTTTGATATTGGACTTCCTAGCCTCCAGGGACAGGGACACCTCCATTGCAGAGAAAGTCCAAGTGCTCAGGACTGAGCTCCTTCAAATTCAAGCCACATGCCAAATGGCCCTTCCCGCGTGAATGCACTTATTGATGGAAGAGACCCAAGAAACAGAAGCAAGTAGCTGCAGACACAGCTCTGCTTTTTATTCCTCAAATGCATTCTCTCTTGACCACATCCACAGCATGCATCTCCTCTTTTTCCTAACTCTGGCTGTCCCTTCTTTATGTTATATTGAAGCATTAACAGGTCCTTAGCTACTTCCTAGCTTGTTACTTCTTTCCTCTACATGCAAAGTCTATTCTGCCCCTCATCTCTGTCTTCCTAGGACCGATTCCTTATCCTTTTTTCCAAGGCCAACTCTTCTCCACCTTCCCAGGAAAGCAGTTTTTGTTTATTTCCATATTCAAGGTGGCTGAGAATTTCTCAGGCAGTTGTGGGAACAACTGGGATCTGCTTTTAATGTCAGATGGCCCATAAAGGGACAAGACACCCAGAATTTCTGTATCATTAGCCGGTTTCCCCACACTCAGTGAAGTCTGGTCCTCTTTACAAATCCCGTCTCAAATGGTATGTCCTCTATGAAGACACCAACCACAAATAATTTTTTAAACTCTCTGATGCCCCCTTCGTTCCTTTCTTAAGTTCCTGATCCTCTGCTGGGTATAAGAGTTGCCTGAATATTTGTCTACTTGCCCCTCCCTAGGCAATAGGCAGCTCTTGAGGCAGGAGCTGGAACTTTCCCATTTCACATTTCCATTGCCTGTTGGGCACAGTGCCTTGTACATGGAAGGCACTCAATAAACAGGAATCAAATTGAACTAAGAAACTAACAGAATCCTCAGCTCATCTGTATTTACTCCGATCTTAAGCTTTTCGTAATGCTTGTTTCTAGAAGAAATGAAACAGTCAAAGGTTTGCCGCAGAGAAGCTAGCCTCCCCCCACAGGCACAGGCCATTCTCAGTGAAGCTGCTGTTTAAGAGTTTTCGTGAAATTGTCATCATTTGTGAGACGCATGGGTTCCAATCACATGACTGATGGTGGTCCCTGTGCCCTTTCCCTCCCCAGCCCCATCTCAGCGATTTATGTAGTATGAGACCATAAAGCCAGTTGAAACTCAGGTGAGACCAGAGGTGGCGTGAGACACATCAGAGAGGGGACAGATCTCCGTAAGGCCCTTTGCCTTGGAAATTTGGCTATCACAGGGCCTTTGGGCAGTTTCAAGAAAAAAAAAAGAATAAAATCTGTCCTCCAAGACAAAGGCCAGCCCTCCCAAGGTAAGATAACAAAGACTGCATGCTTAGCACCATTTACACAGCTAGGGAGTGCTCACAAATTGGCATCACTTATTTAGAAAAGTTCGCAAAAAGTTTTTAAAAAAATCTTCTATGGGTGGCAATTGTTAGCCTGTCTTCAGAGTCGTGGCCCTTTCAGCTGTGGCTCTCCTCTTTGGTGGGTGCTTCTCACAATATGAATTTGGGGCACCCTCATGCTCTCAATCAAACTCCTTTATCCACCCACCCCAACACGTTTTTTTTTTTTTTTTTTTTTTTTTTTTTTTTTTTTTGTTATTTTCTTCAAATTGGCCCCTTCCACTACCCAGGGATCTCATGTAACAGTCAAGTACCATATGTCCTTGCTGACATTCTAGTCTTTCAAACCTTCTACTACTGGACACCCAGGAGAAAATGTTTTCAGGAGGTGCCACTCCTTGGGAGCTCCACACAATCAGCAATACCACAGTGGTGCATGTGGCCTTGGGATCAAGACTTCTGAGGCTGCAATCCCATGTGGTGGGAGGAAGTCCAGCAAGGCACCCAGCACGGGCATTGCAGCAACCACAGCCCAGGCAAGGTTACCAACAACTCCTGATCAGAAAATCGTCTGTCTCCGTCCTTGTCTTTCTGGACCTCTCTGCAGCATTTGAAATTGCTGAAACCAAAAACTCCCTCCTTTTAAAACTCCCCACCCCTGACCCCCCATATTTGTTTGGGAGTCAGGCAGCTCCCCAGTGTGGTCTCAGATCCACTCCCCACTCTTCGACCTCTCAGGGCTCGGTTTCATCACAGGTAAGGACTCATGGATGATGTTATTAGGAGGTGGGGCCTTTGGGAGGTGACTAGGTCATAGGATGGAGCCTTCATAAATGGGATTAATGCCCTTATAAGAAAAGGCATGAGAGAGCTAACTTGCTTCCTCCTCCATCTCCCCCCCCCCATAAGGACACAGCAAGAAGGCAGCATCTGTGAACGAGGAAGTGAGCCCTCACCAAATACTGAAGTGGCCGGCATCTTGATCTTGGACTTCCCAGCCTCCAGAACTGTGAGAAACAAATTTCTGTTGTTTATAGCCACCCAGTTTACTGGATTTTGTTATAGCCTCCCCAGTGGACTGAGACATCTAGCAGCAGCTGAGGGAATGCTCTGGTCAGATGAACCTCAGAGCAGCCTCACAGAACCATCAGCAAAAGGTTCCTGCGAGCCGCTAGGGAACAGAAATGTGACTGAGCATAAGCCACAGTTGCAAAGGAGATGGGGCTTGGGACAAGGATGAGGAGTGTATGATCCTCACAAACATGATCAGAATCCAAGAGGACCATGCGGACCAGAAAGGACAAACTTCTCAGTGGAACACAGCAAAGGCCAGGATGCAAGCCAAACACCTCTCCCCTCAGGATGGCCCATAAGCCACCCCCAGAAACTTAGTCCACTGCAAGGACAAGGGTGCAGAGGGGAAAAGGGGGAAGTGCATTGAGTTTGAAACTGTGCTATCTGTATTTAAATCCAGAAGTGACTGTTACCTAGAGTTGACAAAATCAAATTTTCTGCTCTCTGGAAATTGGGATGTCACGACTTAAGAAGAAATTTACCTATACGGAAAGCTGAATGCACTAAGTATAAAATTTGAACTTGCAAAATGTAAAATGAGTTTACTAATACCTATCTCACAGAATTCTTGAGCATTTTAGTGAATTAATGTAGGAAAAGCACCTAGCACAGTGTCTGGCTGCATGCCATGGTCTTAGTTCCCTTCCCTTCCTTGTGGTTCTCTCTTTCAAGTCCCTGGTTCAGCTAAGAAAATACCAGGCTTTTAGTCAGCTCAGACACCTAATTCTATGGCCCAAGTGAGTGAGTGAGCAGTTTTATGGACGGATGAAAGAGTGGCGGTTCCCACAGGAGCAGATTGGGCTCTACCCGCAGAGAAGATGGGACTCTGGGTAGAAAGCAAGGAAGCACAGTCGTCCCTCACTATCCATGGTGGGTTGGGTCCAGGACCTTCCACAGATACCAAAATCCCCAGATGCTCAAGTCCCTGATATAAAATGGCATAGCATTTGAATACAACCTACGCACATCTTCCTGTATACTTTAAATCACTTCTACATTACTTATAATGCCTAATACAATGTACATGTTATGTAAATGGCTGTGATGCTGTATTGTTTAGAAAATGATGACAAGGGGAGAA